AGGATAGGACCCTTGAGGGATGATAAAGGAAGGCTAATATCTGATGATTATGAGATGGCTATTAAATTTTACTTTTTCTTCAGTTTGATAATGTTACACTTAAATTTTATTTCATATCAAATAATTTAGAAGGAGCATGTCTATATGAAGTGATTAACTGAATGTTGCTGGTTTTTTTCCATTGGATTGACCCTGTATCAGAGAAGAAATATTGACTAATTACAAGTTTACTATGTGTTTCCACAAGAAATGTGGTGGCACACTTTTAAAAAAATATATAAGTATGTTGTACGTAAAATATCAGATGAGTTACAAAGGTATTTGTACTCAAGATATTTCTGTGAATTTACAGAGTCAGTCTGAGTCAAACTGACAAGTTGGAGTACAAAGTAATGTTTATATGAAGAATAAAAATACTTTTGTCCATTTTATAGTTTGCATATTGCATTTACACAACCTCTAGAATCTCCAAAATGCATACCTACAATTTTTCAGTATCTCTGTATATTATATCTGGTATTTACTCTCATCTACCATGAACTGTCACTAAATCAGCAATATAAAGTAAAATGCCATGTAAAAGGCCATGGCATGCACACTTTAACCTCACCCATGTGCATAGATTAAGTAGTAGTTTTTAAATATCCATGATTTACCATTGATCTTACAAACACTCTCAATCATGTTTTAAAAGTTTTTAGGTGCTCAGATTTAAAGGATTATATAGAATCTTATGTTTGTACTTTTCTAAAAGTATGAGATACAGAAAACAAAGTACTAAAATGTGTTAAAGGTAGGTATCCTTTTGTGTATCAGAAAAATACTGAATAAAAACAATCACAAAATGTAGATACTATTAGATTTTCTGTTATAAAAAGTTTAACACTTCTACAACAGAGAAAATGTCTAGTAATTGGGATGAGAATAAACAGCAATGAAAGAAGTTATTTCTATTCTTTTTGAACTTTAATATCCATTAAAATAGTTTTTAGTTTGTAATGATGGATAAAACTTTTTTTAAATATATTGGTACGAGCATGCTCTTTTATGTAGTTTGTGTTTGTGAATAGTCACAGAGGCAATCCAGATACTGCATGTAATGAGAGAAAACTAATGAGGATAAAAATCTATGTCTTGTAGATAGGAATAGTGTTTAATTAGTACTGTCATCTGCTGCTAATCTAACTGCTTCAATTAATTGGAACCAATCATAACATTTTCCTAGCTGTAATTTATAAGAAACTTCACATATTGATGTTTAATAAAAGATGTATATTAAGTATAGAGATCCAGGAATTGCCAGGTAGAAAGTTGAACTTGAGAGGTTAAAGAAGTAGATTAAACATATCTCTTGACAGAGTTGAGTATGTGTTGGTGTTACTTAACATACTTATAATTTTGTTTCTGTAAGTGTCATCTTTCATAATAACAAATTATTTTCCTTTCTGTAAGGTTTTGATAATAAGTTCTTTGTTTTGATTTATACAGGGTTTTAAAGCATAGCATCTGATCCTTGTAGTGATATTTATGAACTGGCATTTTTGACTAACAATAATATTTTAAATAGCTTCTAAAACAGACCATCTAAGTAAATGAATACATTTTTGTAAACCAGACACAATTTGAAGTTCTATTGGTTTAGTCATGAGGGCAAACTTCAGGTCTTTAGATATAATGTACATTGCATATAGTAGAAGTCCATCATTGGTTTTTAATACTGTATGTAGTTTCTCTTGATTTGTTGTTGTTTTACTTTTTAGCTAATGATTTGATAGACCTTTCGACAATATCGTATTTTTTTAGTTTCAAGGAATTTCTGTGCTAAAACCTTTGTATTTATGCATCAGATAGTTTTTACATCTGTACAAAATTATGTTATTATTTCACTTTTAAAAATGTGAATGATTTGAAGTTATGTACCTGCTGATTGTTTATTTGTTTTTCTTGTAGAAACTGCATACAATGATGAACAACAAAATGAAAATCAAGGTATGCATTTTTTTTATAAGACTTGTCTACATTATGAGAAAACTACACTATGTGATCACTTATTCATAAAATATACACATAGAAGTTATTTTAATGCTAAAAAAATAGAAAATTCATGCACCACACTTTTAGGTAATATTTTAGTTAAAACAGTGTTTCTTAACATGATATTTTGTCAAGCTGTTTGTAATTAGTTGTATATATAATAAATTGTTTTACTATTGGTACAGCTTCTAACTAAAAGTAGTACATTGTAATTCATATTTTTGCTAATACATTCATGAATATTCTGTTTGAAATTTAAAAACAGTTATGAAAATAAGTAAAATATTACACTGCACTGAAGAAATTAAGGCTGGTTTTCTTGTATTGATTATGGATTTGGTTTGTGTTTAACCTGACTTATGAAAGAGAAGCTTAAATTTAACAGATGTGAAAAAATCAAATATTTATAAAATGAAAATTGTGTAAAATAATAAGCTAAAGGTCTGAAACAAACCGCTGTGCACAAAATAGCTTAGAAATATACATTTTTGTTTTAGGGAAGTTGTCTGATGGATGCAGTAATAAAATTAGCTAATTCATTTTCTTATTTTTTTAGAAAAGAATGACTATTTGATAACCTTTCAAAAACATTTTTTGTTTCAGTAACTTTACATTTTGTGGAAAATGTCTTACTTATGCATCAGTTACAATTACTTAGAATTTATAATAAAGTAAGCTATTTCTGATTTTAGCTTTTAAGAACATGAATAATTTTAATTTGTTCATGAACATTTTTTGTTTAATTTTGGTTTCTGACTATTCTATATTTCATTATATAGAACGTAAAATAATAACATTTTTTACTTAATTTACGTTTCTAATAACTTTATGCTACATTTTGCATTAGGGAGTGAATTTGAAAAAGATGAAATTAATGACCTGCACAATTTTTTTTTTTTTTTAATTGCTTGACTTTCATTATAAGAAGTATACATAAATTATGTAATTGTAAGCTGTTGTAATATCTGTTGTTATAGAAAATAACGTAATTAACATGTCAAAACTTTCTGGTAACATTGTACTTCTAAAGAGACTTATGTCATGAATTTCCAACAGTATATTTTCAAAACTCTAAAAACATTCTTAGTATATGTTATTCTGTTTTTTAGGTCACTGAAATTTTGTCTAGTCAAGAGTGAGAAATTTTTATTTGTTATTTATGATACTTTTTATTCATCATTTTATTTAATTTAGGTTCAACAGAAATATAATAAAAGCTTTTTAAAAAAATTATTATCTATACATATGAACACATTCAAACTGATTGTTTTATAATATAAACCACATAATGTTAGAGCCTGGATTTAGTTACATTAAACTGCTTTTGCAAACCTGAAGTGAAAAAACTGTAGTAAAACAAAGATACAAAGTAAAATTTATAGAGGATGGTAAAGACCAAATGAAAAGCACTGTGTTACAAAATGCCAGAAAATAATCCTCTATGTCAGAACAATATTATTGGAAAATTGTTTATTTTGTCACTTTAGTTCTTTGGTAGACAATGATATTCAATTTTTTGAAATATATCATAAGTACTTTGATACTCTGAATGAAACAAATTGGCAGAAGATTTCACATGCTTGTAGCTAAAGTTGTAGCACATTATTGTTGTAAAGAAAGGTAATTTTTAGAATCATTTCAGCTGTGTTTAGTTTCATTGTTCAATAATCATTTATTATAAATATTTAAGAATTGTTTCATAAGAAGGATAAAATATATTACAAAACTGTTCAATATTGTGTTTAAGGAAATGTGTTTACTGGTGACATTTTTCAATTATTGGGTGTATAAACTAAGTCAAAGTGGATATTTTATTGGATAACGAAATATTAAGGAGATTCTACATAATAGAATATTTGTTTGTAGTCTATTATATGTTAAAGTTGATGACACACACAAGGTTTTCATGAAATATTGCTAATGGTTTTAAAGTAACAGAACAACACTAATTTTTTTAAAACTTTTCAAAATTTCCAATCTCATACCATCCTCTCGGCACTATTTTCAGATAAAATGTTTGCATTTAATATTTTAGCCGTGACACAGCAACTCATAAAACGGCTCTGATTGTTTTGTTTTTTTTACAAGTACAAATTTTTATCTCATAGCTCCATCATCTCTTGACCAATTTGAGATCTAATTACAGTTTTGGACTCAGGAGGTCAAACCTTTTTGATTGATGTATTTGACCACACCCTAGGTCTCATAGATAAATTTATTCTAATCCTGCCTAAAAGAATTTCAATTTCAGGATAGGCTGGTAGAGATCATGATGAGTAATACAAGTGAATCGAGTATATGAGCTCCCCACACTTGGTATTGCTGGTGCACAAAAACATAACTAATAAAAAGGAAAAAAAGATGTGATAGATTAATTTACTCTTATCCTGCCTAAAATAATTTCAAGTGCCATGGCTATTGAGGATTCCCTCTTGTTTTAGTTTCATTGACTCTTCTGCTAAAACTTTTGCATTTATGCATCAGGTGGATAGTTTATTAAGTTTGTATAAAATGCTGTCACTGTTTCAGTTTTATAAAATATGAATGATTTGAAATTCTTTAGGTACTGACTGTTTATTCTCTTTTCATGTAGAAAATGTATATGGTGATGAACAACAAGATGGCATTCAAGGTATGAGTTTTCTTTTTACATAAGACTTTTCTCACATTATGAGAAGATTACACTGTATGATAATTCATAAAATATATCAGTAGGAAGTATTTTGGTATCTAATGTTACAGTAAGTAGCAACAGGTGTGCACTAGAACACTGGGGTAATATTTTAATTAAAAACAAAATTTATTCACACAAGATGTCTTGTATATAATGATATATTTTATACATTTATATTGCTTTTAATAAAGGTCTGAAACAAACTGCTGTGTTCAAGTAAGCCTAGTTAAAGTTTTATTCTAAATTAAGCAATCTGTGAAGGTATTTTTTAAGTACATGCATGAGTTGAAGCTGTTTACCAATACTTGGTTAAGATATTTTAGTTTCTGACTAATCTGTATTTGATTATATATAATATAGAATAACGATATCTTAACTTCAATTACTTTCATTATAACTTTATACTATATTTTCTGTCTCATGGAATGAATTTGAAAAAGTCAAATATAGTGATCCAATAGTTAAAATTAATACTACCATCATTGTGATGTGCTAATGTGTCAAGAAAAGCAAGTTGATGTTTTTCATGATATTCAACAGTAATTGTTATGACTTTTGTTTCATTACTAAGATACTCTAGAGACTGACTTATTTGTTGAAATTCAATAAGTATGATAAACAATAGTGTCAATATGCCTTCAATATTATATAAGCTTGAAACTCAGTTGTCAATTTTCCAACCCTTGTTTTTCATAATGGAAAAAGAGTAACTTGGCAAGTACTAACATTTGTAATTTCATCAGTTTGATCATATGTATATAAATATCTTGTTGGTAAATAGAAAATGAGATTCTGTGATGGCATATTCCATATAATTTCTGAAAAGCATGCTTTGGAAATATTACATATTTATTCTTGATAATGTAGGTTAACTTTTAATTTTAAAGTCTTATTCAATGTAATATTCTTGTACAAAGATATTAAATCAAAACTTACACAGTTATAAATGTGTAAGTTTTCAACTTCATTTCATTAGAAAATTCTAAAGCTCCTTTTAATAGTATATTCATTATAAGCATTATGGTCAAAACCCTTAACAAAAAATCTAGCAAATTCATAATTATTTATATATGTCTGTATTAGGAAGTTATCTTTAGATGTTACTCTTGTGTAATAAGATTATCTTTTGTCTTAATTCTAAAATATTTTTGAAATTTTATTATTCTTTTTTTTTATAGTCTTTGTGGAATTCTTTTCTATTCTAATAAACTTTGTGCTCAGAATAATGGTAGCTGTTGCCTGTCTCAGTTATGGCATTGACATTCTTGGAGTAGATGTACTGTAGTGTTTATCAGTCAGTTTTTCCTGTGCAACAAATTAAGTGATGTTCAGTGGGAGTCTAGTGCATCAGTACATGTAACCTAGTTATAGAGCCACACATGAAATAAGCTGCTTTCTGTTCAGAAAGCAAGCAGCAATAGCTTGAGCAGTTATCTGTCTGAGGAAGGATGAAGTTCTGGTGTTGTTCTGCAATTATGAATAATTGGTTATCCAGCTTCACACAGAAATGATCATTGGCATGGTAAGTGAAATGGAAGTTAGCAAAGCTAGTGGCAATACCAATATTGCATCCATTGTGCTATGTCCAAAGAAAGTACATGGTTACCAATACATATTAGATTGCTGTTTGGGGATTGTGCAGACAATACAGACTAAACACAACATCAACAATTCAGTGACTCGTTGGCTGAATATTACAATATATTTGTGGGACCAGATGGCTGATTGGTTTAAAAAACAGTCATAAAGCATCACATAAACACAAGTGATGCATGTTCTACAAAATAACTGCTGCACAGGCTACCCTGGTTTAAGGATGTAGCCAGCACTGAGATAAAGTGGATAATATAGGATGATTACTATGAAGAAGAAAGGTACACTCTGGTTCTGTATTGGTTTTAGGTGGGTGAATGTGGTAATTCACATTGAATACTTCCATTGCCATGAACAGATGAATGTTTAGATGCATTAAAAGAGGCTCAATGGTTCGGTAACTTAGACCTAAAATACAGATACTAGCAAGTCAAGGTGGATGGAAAGAGCAGATCTAAGACTGCTTTCAGCAGTAAGTATGGCTTGTGTAAGTATGGGTTTTGCATCATACTTATACCCTTTAGCCTATGTAATTATTTTGCCACTTTTGAGAGGCTAAGGGAGCTTATACACTTATGGGGCAGCAGAGGAGAAATACCTGATCTATATTGACGATATCTTAGTGTTTGGTCTCACATTCAAGTCTGCAGCTGAGAACATGAAAATTGTATTTCAGTGATTAAAAAAGGCACGTTTGAAGCTGAAACCAGGAAAATGTGCATGAAAGTGGAATTTCTTAGCCATATTGTGGGTAGAGAAGGGACCTCTTGTAAAATAGCAGTGGTGCAAGATTGGCCTCAACCTGTGGCTAAACAAAAAGTCTGCAATTTCCCAGGTTTTGCATTGTACTTATCTATGATTTATGGCCAACTTCTCCAATATCAGCCCACTATTATTAGCTCCCATTAAAGCTGAGATCCACTTGAGATGGACTAGGGATTTGAGCAAGCACTCCAATCTCTGAAGTGTGCTTTAGCAGAAGTTACAGTGTTGGCATTTTCTTGGTAGATACTAATGCTATTGATAGTGGAATTGTAGCAGTGTTATTGCAGTTATGGGATGGAGTATAAAAATGTTAATCATGTATGCTAGTCTTCATTCATGGCTCTTGAATATGAATACTGTACAATGAAGAAAGAATTACTTGCTGTTGTTGTTTTTTGAATTGCATCATTTTAAACTGAAAGCATTATACATTACACCATTGAGTTTTCATTGTGTAAAGCAATAACTTGTACTAGATTTCACTGCTTAATTTTAATATTTTTTATTATTTTTCTCAATTTTATCAACTTTGGAACCTACAAAATTCTTGGAGGATGTTAGCACTTTAATGGTCATTTGCTGCATTTAAGTTAGTTGAAGGAAGTGTGTTGGCAATTTAAAATATGTGCCATTGGATAAAGGATATCCAATCCACATTTACATGAAATTTTGCCCTGTAGTTGAAGTGTATTTATGTTGTGATAACATTTATAAATTGAATCTTTTTTTTATATTGTGATTACCAAATAGTATGTGGATAAGAGAAAAACAGCAAAAGAAAAGCACTGTTAGTGATTTGTCAGAAAGTAGTTTAAATACTTGCTGGTTTTATAGAAAAATTTGTCTTTTTTTTTCCTGTTTAGCTGTGAATGCAACTGTAATTGTTTTTTAAATAGTCTTTCTGAATAGTCATTATGGTGTATACAAACACAAATGTTACACTCTTTTCTTCAGGATAGACACTAACATTAATGTAGGCTAGTTAATTACTCCATAATTCATTTTAATTTGTGTATCAATAATGAGAACACAAAAGTCAATGAACAATAAAAGTATATTTTTTTATTATAAAGAAAACGTACATGTGAGAACACTAAATAAAGTATAATTAAGAAAACATTGCATTTTATAATTTAGAACCTACCTCACCTTATTAAGATAAGATAAAACGTTATTTTAGCTAAGTCAGTTCATGAAAAAGATGCACAAAATCAAAACACAGAAAGATAAAATAGATTAATGTTGTAAAACAATTTATAGAATTTAATGAATGTTATGCATTAAGATAAGGTTACAGTAACAAATTAAACGTTTATCTTTTTATATTTCTTTATAGGAGATGAAGTTTCTAATGTTAAAAAGACACTTAGAAAATTAATGAAGATGTGAATATTGTGTTATAGCTTTACTTATTTTAATGTTACAGCCTCCTGCCCAGTCTTTTTTATAAGATATATCCATGTTGGAGACAAAAGCCACTTCCAAAAGAAAGTCAGTTACAGTATAAAAGATCATTGTTCCTGTAATCTTAAAGGTAAGAAGCCCTCCTAATGGTTCAGCAATAAGCTTGAGGTCTTATAATACTAAAAATATAAGATTTGATTCCTGCAGTAATTATAATGCAGATAACCCATTATATGGGTTTGTGCTTAACAGCAAAACAAACACACAGAAGTAGGTTAGAAATAATGTTTTGGTAAACTTCGCATATATCAATGCTAAAGTTCCACAACAGTAGAAATAAATATATTAAAACTCATTATATGTGGTACATATTTTATATTTTGTAATATGCAGACTTGTACTATTTTTGAATGATTAGTATTTATAGTATTATAACAGCTTGAACTTCATGTTGATGAATAAAGGATTGGAAGTGAGTGTGCATTTGCAACAGCTTTATTTAATAAAAATATTTTGAAAATTATTAATTCACTGTGTTATAATGTTATTTCTGCATTACTTAATTACCATCACACACTTCAACAGTGCTTGTCTTTAAATTTTATGCACAAAGAATCCAGAAAACACCAGAGTAATTAGATAAGCTTTGAAGTGAATAATCCTAAGTGTAACAAACATAAAGAGATGTTTTGTAAAATACTTATTAGACAGTAGAACTTACAATTTAAAGTTTGAAGATATATTTTTGCCAAAATGATCACAATTGGTGTTTGACATATTTTAAACTATAATTTGGTTGGCACTTGAGTAATATAGTATCCATTTATTTAAATTCACATGCATTTCAACATGCCATGTTTGTCTTAATGTATTACATTTGGAAGTGCCAAGTTATAAATTATTTATATTGGTTTATTACTAAACAAATAATCTTTTTTCCAGGACGATATTTCTTGTTAAGCTCTATTGCTCCATGGATTAAAGAAGGTTATCATTATAGGCACGTTCAGTTGTCTAGTGATGTTTACATCATCAAGTACAATAACCAAAACAAAAAGAAAATCAAGAGAGCCTTAAGAAGATGTTCATATTCTTCTGACATGCACAGTGGTTGTCCTACAGCACCCTACTCTTGTCCCACATGTCACAATTCTGTCAGTTTTGATTTAGAAAAAAGTTTCTGTGATCTGGATATAGGTTTGTGTTACATTTGTATATCTTATGCTTCACAAGATCACAAACCAATCACATTTGTACTCTTAATTGTTTAAAAGATATTTTGTATGTTTGACTAAAATAGTTCTATTTATATGTAAGGTAAACTAATAATCAGTCAAAATAGTTTTTGTTATGTTTTTATAATAAACTGTATAAAATTCTCTTGTAAAGGAGCATTTTGAATTAAAAATTGTGCATTAACAAAAAATGTAGTGAGACATTTACACCTATGAAGTAGTAATTTGTATTGAATAAAACTTAATCAAAACATCAGAAAGGAGTACTTGTTTTTCATAACCTGAATTTTATCTGTTCTTAAATTAAAATATATTTCTCAAACTCTCATTTGTTTTTATTTTAGCCATCAAAATGAAAATGAGCAATATGTTTGAACCTGAGGCAGGTAGGTTACTTGAAGGTTCATAATATAAAGTTTTGTTTAATTTAGTAAAAGCTATAGAAATAGAATTGTACTGACAGTTTGTCTTATTGAAAAATTCATTTGTCGGAGCTTTATTAAAACATCATATTTCTTTATCTAAGAATAATATATATATTATACATAATTTATTTGAAAGTTCTTTAAAATATTGTTTTATAATAGAAACTATTGTGTTTTATACCTTTATCTGGTAAAAAAAATTCTTAAAGAAGTTATAGAAAGTGGTATCTGAGTTCACTAGTGTCCAGCACAAAAGTCAAATGTTTCTGCAAAATGCAGATTCACGACTGTTAAGTGAAAAATGAAATGAATATAGATATTAGAGAAAAACAAGTAAACACAAGTGCAGTTGTAAACACAAAATTCTTTATTAACAAATGCTATGTTCTGTTACTAAAACTGCCCACATTTATTCTTCCACATTGTCTGGCTGCAGGGGCTGGAAAAAACTTTAAAGACAAAGAGAAGTCAAGAGAAAGAGACAGAGCACTAGAAATACCTAACATAAATACTCAGGCAAAACAAAGAAAATCAATTATTCTATAAGTTCACACATTACATACTTCAACCAATGTTCTACACATAACCTTAAATTGAGCCAGTTGTATAAGTTTCTGTATTGCCTGTTTGAATAGACTACCTTCCCAGAAGTCCATACAGAAACACATATACACCAGCTTAAGGCTAAAGGTTGCAGTATGTAAATTTTACCTGTTTAAAAGCACAAGTTTACAGCCTTGAGGCATTTGTTCAATTAGAATGTCATAATGCATGCAGAAACTACATAGAAGTTTAGAAAAATATTATATGAATATACCTGAATAAAGAGATAATTTATACGACTTGTTGAAGAGTGAATTTCATGCTTGTTTCAATCATTATATTATTTAACAGATCTTTGGATCCTGATAATTAATAAGTGGTCATTTATGCTACGTACTTTGTTGGTAGTATATTATTTATCTCTTTTCAATCAAGTTAAAAATACATTAAATGTTTGATTAAATTTTATAATTTTTAGCTGCTGTATAATGGATCATAAAATGACTCTGCGTTTTTTCAAGTACAAACTTTTAGCTCATAGGTCCATCCCTTGACTGATTTGACATCTAATAACAGTTGTGTCTATTGAGGATTACCTCTTGTTTTCTTTAAAATGTGTAATAGTTTTTCTTACATATTTTATATTGTTTCTAGTGATAATTATTTTTATGATTAATATTTTGAAATAAAAATTCCTTAATAATTATTTTTGTTCTATCAATATCAATGCCTTTGCTAGTATTAAAGGTCTGTAAGATCCAATGATGTACAATAGTTGGAAATTTTAAAATATTAGTTATCAGTTTTTTAGGTATAAAACACTAAGGTAATAACATTCAGAAAAATTCCTGAAATACTATAAATAGTCAATGTTTTGATCATATCAATAGAGTATTTGAAATTTCCAGTGAGTAAAATAAGTTCCTTAAAATATTAGTGAAAGAAAATTGAAAAATATACATATTCTTTAATAAAAGAATAAATAATATAGACATTTTTAGTGGCAGTGTAAGTAATTAATCATATTTAAAATTGTTTATTATTCTTTCAATTTAGAGGAAAGCTTCTTCACAAGTATGTGTTCAACATTTGATGTTCAGGAAGTTTACAGAGGGAACTCTTCTAGGTTTGAAAAGCATGTTGATGCTGCACTTCGCGAACATTGTTCTTGTGATTTATTTAATGAAGGTTGGTATGAATAAGTGCCTTTTTGTTTGTAAAACTAATATTATATGTTTCTTAGCTTTCATTATGAATGATAATATTTGATTGTGTCAACATTTCTCATCTGTAGATACACTAAATTTACAGTGTGAATTTCTTCATTTTCCAAAATTATAAATTTCATAACTATTGTCAAAACAACTGCTGGTTAAAATTATTAGATATACATTTCTTTGCTTATTCAGATTCTTTACATAGATTGACTGTGCATTATTTCTCACAAAGATTTTGTGATGAATTTGTGTTTTTTTATCATATTCTCTTTAGCTTTCATATATGAACTTTCTCAGTGTTTTTCTATATTTTGGTAAAGTCTTATTCATGTATAGAGACACTTTTAGCCTCAGCCTTCCTCTAAGCTTCCTTAAATTTACTGCATCCACTACATTTGAAGGCAACCCATCCCAAAAATCAAACAACCTAAAATCCTATTTGCTCTGCCACTAGCTATAGCACACTGCTTGGATCAGAACCACGAACTTCTTTTCTTCCATAACCCTGTTGAGTATTCCCATAAAAATGATACTTATAATTGAAATTAGAAAAACCCACATGCATTACTTTGCATTTGTTATAACTAAAAACCATCAGCAATTTATTTACCCAACTCACCAAATCCAAATCTTTTTTGTAAAGCAGTAGCAGCATCCTTACAGCCAGAAACACCCAAGACCTTAATATCATCAGCAAATTTAAATAATTTTTGACCATTTCTTCATCTATGTCATTAATATAAATCAAAAATAGCAAAAGTCCAAACACTGAGCAGTTGAGGTACCCCACTTAAGACAGCAATTCATTTTTACTGAACTCTATTAATAACAACTCTGCATTTTTCTATCTGGCCATTTTTCTATTCAATGAGCCAACTTATCCTCCACACCTATAGATAATTTTTTTAAAATACCTTTTATGTGGAACTTTTTCAATTTTCTGAAAGTCAAGATACACTAAATCCTTTCTTACCATCATTTACATAGGCAGTAACTTCTTCAAGGAAGGTCAAAAGATTGGTAAGGCAAGATTTTACCTTAGTGAGACTACAATAACTATCCAACAAAACTTAAAACTTAGTTAAATGATCTTGCAAGTCTATCTTGAGTATCTCTAATTAATTCAGTTTCCCAACAAATAAGTCTTGTTGCATTCCTTCAAAATTTGTTTTTTATTTGTAACCAAGATCTCATTTTTCCTGATCTCCATGTGCAGTAAAACATCAAAATAATATGAGAAATGATCACTTGCATCCAGATGTTCCATAATCTCCACCTTCTCAACCATTTCTATATTAGAAGTTATCAATAAATCTAAAATAGCATTGTTTCCAGTAGGTTCCTTGATTAACTGGTGAAGAAAACCATCCTGAAAGATTTCTTACAAATTGTCTCCATCACAGTTTGACTTTAATGTTTCTCAATCTATTTAACTGAAATTAAAATTCCCCATAATCTTAACCTCATTAACAGCTAAAATCATAATCTAACTGTAAGTTTTCTCATTAATTTTATCAGTTTCATCTGGTGAATCTGTAACAAAATCTAACTAAAAGCTTTCTACTCCTATATCCACTAACAGAAGCTCAAATAGATTTAATCTCATTATTATTATCTTTGACATCCTCAACTTTAACAGTGTGTAATTCATATTTTACATATAAAGCCACTCCTTTCCTTTGTTTAGCACTCCATCCATATTCAATACCCTATCATCAAAATTGTTTACTTTTAGTCAAGTTGCAGTTAACCCCATTATACCAAAGTCCTCCAATCTGATTAATTCTCTGAGGCAATCAGTTTTATTTCTTATACTTCTAGCATTACAACACTTATAACTGTAACATCCCTAAGTTTTTCTTTCCATCTTTATCTCTACTTTTTGTTTCCTTTCTTCCCATAGTATTTCATCTGTACAAGTTAAAAGCTAGAATCTATTACTTAATAGAACTTTTCAATACCTTTAAATCCACTACTATTAGCCCTAATTGCACTGTCTTTAACTTCCTGAAATACATTATTATCTACTGTACCTTTTGCATGCAAAAGCTTAAGTTGCTCTTTAAATATTTCTGCCATTTTCCACAGTTTATCTTTCTCTTTGTCAATTGCCTCTACTCTATTTAGGATAGCCTCCAATTTCTTTTCCAACCTGCAAACTCTACACACAAATTGACCTTCTTCATTACTAGCTTCCTTAAAAGTGATGACAGTCTCAATTTCACAAATAAAACCCACTCCTTGAACCCATCACAACCTGCATGCTATGAGTCTTTCACACCTTCATTACTCTTAACCAATGTAATCTGAGAATGAATAATCAACACTAAATACAAGTAGCTTATTGAAAATGCTGTTTAACCTAACACTACAGAACTAAATATATTACACTATTTTTCACTACTTTATCTTCACACTGAAGTAAATGGTTAGAAATATATAATAACTGTATATGTAACTTGATTTAGGGAACATTTACGTTTGATTTAAACTACAAGAAATGTTATCTGCAAGTTATATTACTATTTACTATTATTGAAAGATATCTAAACTTAAGGTGTTTAAGAATATCCTTGCTGTTTCATATAAAAGGTCTAAATGAAATATATTTTTATGAAATGTTAAGTAACACACTTCATTTCTATGAGTAAACCACTTGAACACTTAGGACACTTTAAAATAATTTGTAGTACTAATGATAGATAATTTTGAGAGTTAAAGAAACTCTGCACATTGTCTTTACTTCTGAATAAATTTTGGATGTGTTACATATTTAAAATACTTTTTTACTTAAACTTCAATAAATGGTTTATTCATACTATATGTTTTACTGTTTTATTCTATTCATTTGAACTATCTTGATATGTATGTGTATGAGAAATTCTAATAAAGTTTGAAAATATGTATAAGCAAGGTGCCAACTGTCAGAATAAGTTCTAATATTCACTATTTTTTTATTCCAGTACCAATGGATGTGCTTATATTATCAACAGACAAAGCTTGGATTGCAACTGAAACTAACTACAACCAGCTGAAACTTGGAAAAGGTGTTAATGTTTTGACTTTTAATGACAAGAATCTTGGGAAGATAAAGCAAATGATTAAAAACTGTACCTATTCTTCTGACATTCAAAGTTATACTCATTCTGTTTTACCAAAGCCTACATCAAAAACACCATCTAATAACAGAGAAGAGTGTCCATTCACAAACCAAACATCATGCCCAGAATGTCCATCAGTTCCATCCATTGACCTCCTAAGCACATATTGTCAAGCAGAATATGGTTAGTGTGAAATATACTGGTATTAATAATTTACAAACCCCTAAAATTTAATTACCAGTGAAAGTGTGTATCTGAATTTTGTTTCTTTATTTGAGAGATCAGTGCATAACTTTATTTGAATGTACACATATGTATTATACGTGGTTTGTAGTTTTATCTCTTTAATACAAGAAATGTACTCAAATTCTATGATCCTTTTAAGTTTCTAAGTGTTGACATTCCACCATAAATCATTAGGAATAAACATTATTTTATTTGTTTTTCAAGTATGGTCATTCTAATCATCAGTTTAAAAGAGGATTTTAATTTAAATGAATGTCCATATTTTTTGTAGAGGATTATAAAGTAATATTTTATCTTTTTTTTTTCACTAATTCATGTTTAAGTTCTTAATTAGACTTAATAAAAGATAAGTACTTTTCTATAAAAGAAAATCTATTATTTAGCTGATATTTTTTATGTTATTGTTTTACTTTAAATAATAAAAAGTGAAAAACTTGTTTAAGAGTTTGCAATTTCCTATTGTGTTACATGATAAACATATATTAAGTATGATTTACCTATCACAACAGTTATAGAATATAAACCTAGAACAATAAAAGTTGATTTTTTGTAAAGAAAATTAGCTTAGTAAGAAGTATATAATAATCAATGTTTTATTGACTGTTTTTCATATTTCATTATACAGCTGCTGTTGTTTCCTTTACCACTGAAACCTCAGACAAACATTTGAAAGAACCAAGTGAGTTATTTCACCTGGTTATTTATTATTTTAGTTGTAAAGAAAGGCGTTTTGATGTCCTATAATGTAAATATATGTTATTCTCTATGTTAATAACATCATATCAAATATATCTGATTTTAT